CCTAACGGAGACGACCAGGGTTCGATTCCCCATATGCCCTAGGGTTGATGCGGTAACTGTATCAAATCGTGTAACCATCGCTTCATAAATACACTGGGGCGGTGGGGTAGCGTTGGCTCGTCACGCCGAAGGCCCGGGTTCGACCTAGTGGTTAAAGCGTTGGCTCGTCACGCCGAAGGCCCGGGTTCGATTCCCCACATGGGTACAATTTGTGAAGCCCATTTCTGGTGTCCCCCGCCGTGATATTGCTGGAATATTGCTAAAAACGGCGTAAAACCATACTCAGTCAGTCAGTCATAAATACACTGATTCCGTTGCATACGCCTGGTTAACGAAATACGTTTGCTACAATCCGAAAATATCATGTCTCCTTAACGACAGTGGGCTATAAATAACAGAATGGCGGCAGGTTTTGTTGCATCACTTTATGTTAAAGTGTTCGAAAATAAGACACCAGAGTGACATCATCGAATTTTGTTGGACCAGACAATCCAGTGATCAACAGCTTTACCACCCGATCCCGTTAGTCGCCTCTTACGACAAGCATGAGCAACATACCCAAGAAACATCTGTGTTGTTTAACACGACATTGTTTGCTTCCAAGCATGCCAACTCGTTACCAAAGCACGTGCAACACGTGCAGCACGCACAAGCACAATTCAATTATGCAATGAAGTCACGAATGTACCTTCAGTTGAAGAGGAAAGCATTTGAACAAAACAAACACTATTGCGCAATGAAGTCTGTTAAGTGCAGTATCAATTCTGCAAGTCATTATATGCAAGTAAAAAGACGCATTTTGCACATTAATGAACACTAACAGGGCGAATTAAGGGGACTGCTTATAATGCTGACATTGAGATCAATATCGTGCTTTGTCCTTTACACAACATATATAGCTGCACTAGTATCAGTTTCCTAAGTATAATTTTAACACATGTTACAAAATATCTGCCGCTGCTGCAACAGTATTTATCGATTATGACTCATAACTGAACATAAAATACCTGTTCAGAAACAAATTGAAAACTAGATACAAAGAATTACGAATTTTGTGCACGTTCTGGGTGAACTGACAACCCTGAGCCTTGAAATAAAAGCATTATGCTTTGAAAAACATTTAACGATATTAGTACAGCGAATGTCGATTATAACTCATCTAATAATGTACACATATGGTGAGAAGCGCACATTTCACAAAGTTTGAAAAAGGAAATCTGTTATTGAAACACGATGGCAGTAATTGACCGGGTTGATCTGACCAGACATGAATAAAAGACTGCCTGCCGTGGTGTAGCTGGTTTGTTGCTTAATGTGGCCTCAAAACAATTATTTACACACGCACGCAAGCACGCACACACATATATTATTTTTAAGGCTATTTATAAGAGACAGAGTAGTGTCACTTTCGTCTCAAATTACACCAAGACAAGCCCTTGTTTGAACATCTTACTCTCACCCTTTGTCTCCAGCTGGGGGCGGTGGGCTGGCCTAGTTGATAACGTGTTCGCTCGTCACCGTTCGATTCCCTACATGGGTACAATGTGTGAAACCCATTTCTGGTGTCTTCCGGTCCGATGTTGCTGGACCCCGCCTCTGGATCCGCCCCTGATGTATGTTTCAGCAACACAAGAGTTGACAGTGTGAGACAAGGTGTCAGTAATACCTGGGTTGACAGTGTGAGACAAGGTGTCAGTAATACCTGGGTTGACAGTGTGAGACAATGTGTCAGTAATACCTGGGTTGACAGTGTGAGACAATGTGTCAGTAATACCTGGGTTGACAGTGTGAGACAAGGTGTCAGTAATACCTGGGTTGACAGTGTGAGACAATGTGTCAGTAATACCTGGGTTGACACTGTGAGACAAGGTGTCAGTAATATCTGGGTTGAAAGTGTGAGACAAGGTGTCAGTAATACCTGGGTTGACACTGAGACAAGGTGTCAGTAATAATAGGGTTGACAGTGTGAGACAAGGTGTCAGTAATACCTAGGTTGACAGTGTGAGACAATGTGTCAGTAATACCTGGGTTGACAGTGTGAGACAAGGTGTCAGTAATACCCGCTTTCGATACCTGGGTTGACAGTGTCAATAATACCTGGGTTGACAGTGTGAGACAATGTGTCAGTAATACCTGGGTTGACAGTGTGAGACAAGGTGTCAGTAATACCTGGGTTGACAGTGTGAGACAAGGTGTCAGTAATACCTGGGTTGACAGTGTGAGACAATGTGTCAGTAATACCTGGGTTGACACTGTGAGACAAGGTGTCAGTAATATCTGGGTTGAAAGTGTGAGACAAGGTGTCAGTAATACCTGGGTTGACACTGAGACAAGGTGTCAGTAATAATAGGGTTGACAGTGTGAGACAAGGTGTCAGTAATACCTAGGTTGACAGTGTGAGACAATGTGTCAGTAATACCTGGGTTGACAGTGTGAGACAAGGTGTCAATAATACCTGGGTTGACAGTGTGAGACAATGTGTCAGTAATACCTGGGTTGACAGTGTGAGACAAGGTGTCAGTAATACCTGGGTTGACAGTGTGAGACAATGTGTCAGTAATACCTGGGTTGACAGTGTGAGACAATGAATCAGTAATACCTGGGTTGACAGTGTGAGACAAGGTGTCAGTAATACCTGGGTTGACAGTGTGAGACAAGGTGTCAGTAATACCTGGGTTGACAGTGTGAGGCAATGTGTCAGTAATACCTGGGTTGACACTGTGAGACAAGGTGTCAGTAATATCTGGGTTGACACTGTGAGACAAGGTGTCAGTAATACCTGGGTTGACACTGTGAGACAAGGTGTCAGTAATATCTGGGTTGACAGTGTGAGACAAGGTGTCAGTAATACCTGGGTTGAAAGTGTGAGACAATGTGTCAGTAATACCTGGGTTGACACTGTGAGACAATGAAGCAGTAATACCTGGGTTGACAGTGTGAGACAAGGTGTCAGTAATACCTGGGTTGACAGTGTGAGACAATGTGTCAGTAATACCTGGGTTGACAGTGTGAGACAATGAATCAGTAATACCTGGGTTGACAGTGTGAGACAATGAATCAGTAATACCTGGGTTGACAGTGTGAGACAATGTGTTAGTAATACCTGGGTTGACAGTGTGAGACAATGAATCAGTAATACCTGGGTTGACAGTGTGAGACAAGTTGTCAGTAATAGCTGGGTTGACACTGTGAGACTATGGATCAATCTGGACATTTGAAAAAGACAACATGTTTCACATTTCTCATATAGATTTTATTTAATTTTACAATTGTTTTCTACAACTACTTTGATCAGTAACAAGTTGAGTGTCAGTACAAAGGATTCAAAGCTCTGTGCAGTTGGCTGACTCAAATGCAACACTCTGGAATGAAAGGGCATGCTAAACTGCTAAACGTCAGACTGGGTATACATGGTAGAGGACAAGGACTAGTTGCACTAAGTACCTGGGCTGAAAGCCAATATCTCAGTACAATATTTATGAGGATAAAATGTGGGTAAAATGTAGTCATTTTGATATTATAAAGGACGAGGTCTTTGATGTAAACTGTTCATGCTATTTCAAGACAACATCAATACATGATCTAATTGAAAAACAGGATCAGTATAAATCCTATTATAACACTACAAGGTACATGCTATTGTCAACACTCTGTGAAGTTAGTGTGGAGGGAGGTTCAAGGCTACATAGGTTGTAGATGTTTTAACCTGTTGATAAAACAAGATGGTTTTAATCAGGGTGGGTCGCATTACCCTGTAGACCAAGGTTCTTAATCAGGGTGGGTCGCATTACCCTGTAGACCAAGGTTCTTAATCAGGGTGGGTCACATTACCATGTAGACCAAGGATCTTAATCAGGATGGGTCACATTACCCTGTAGACCAAGGATCTTAATCAGGGTGGGTCACATTACCATGTAGACCAAGGTTCCTTATCAGGGTGGGTCACATTACCATGTAGACCAAGGATCTTAATCAGGGTGGGTCACATTACCCTGTAGACCAAGGTTCCTTATCAGGGTGGGTCACATTACCCTGTAGACCAAGGATCTTAATCAGGGTGGGTCACATTACCATGTAGACCAAGGATCCTTATCAGGGTGGGTCACATTACCCTGTAGACCAAGGATCTTAATCAGGGTGGGTCACATTACCCTGTAGACCAAGGATCTTAATCAGGGTGGGTCACATTACCCTGTAGACCAAGGTTCCTTATCAGGGCTGGTCACATTACCCTGTAGACCAAGGATCTTAATTAGGGTGGGTCACATTACCCTGTAGACCAAGGATCTTAATCAGGGTGGGTCACATTACCATGTAGACCAAGGATCTTAATCAGGGTGGGTCACATTACCCTGTAGACCAAGGATCTTAATCAGGGTAGGTCACATTACCATGTAGACCAAGGTTCCTTATCAGGGTGGGTCACATTACCATGTAGACCAAGGATCTTAATCAGGGAGGGTCACATTACCATGTAGACCAAGGTTCCTTATCAGGGTGGGTCACATTACCATGTAGACCAAGGTTCCTTATCAGGGTGGGTCACATTACCCTGTAGACCAAGGATCTTAATCAGGGTGGGTCACATTACCATGTAGACCAAGGATCTTAATCAGGGTGGGTCACATTACCATGTATACCAAGGTTCCTTATCAGGGTGGGTCACATTACCATGTAGACCAAGGATCTTAATCAGGGTGGGTCACATTACCCTGTAGACCAAGGACCCTTATCAGGGTGGGTCACATTACCCTGTAGACCAAGGACCTTATTTAGGGTGGGTCACATTACCCTGTAGACCAAGGTTCCTTATCACGGTGGGTCACATTACCCTGTAGACCAAGGATCTTCATCAGGGTGGGTCACATTACCATGTAGACCAAGGATCTTAATCAGGGTGGGTCACATTACCATGTAGACCAAGGATCTTAATCAGGGTGGGTCACATTACCCTGTAGACCAAGGTTCCTTATCAGGGTGGGTCACATTACCATGTAGACCAAGGATCTTAATTAGGGTGGATCATGTTACCCTGTAGACCAAGGTTCCTTATCAGGGTGGGTCACATTACCATGTAGACCAAGGTTCTTAATCAGGGTGGGTCGCATTACCATGTAGACCAAGGTTCTTAATCAGGGTGGGTCGCATTACCCTGTAGACCAAGGATCTTAATCAGGGTGGGTCACATTACCCTGTAGACCAAGGTTCTTAATCAGGGTGGGGTTAGCATTACCTGTAGACCAAGGTTCTTAATCAGGGTGGGTCGTTACCCTGTAGACCAAGGTTCTTAATCAGGGTGGGTCGCATTACCCTGTAGACCAAGGTTCTTAATCAGGGTGGGTCGCATTACCCTGTAGATCAAGGTTCCTTATCAGGGTGGGTCACATTACCATGTAGACCAAGGATCTTAATCAGGGTGGGTCACATTACCCTGTAGACCAAGGTTCCTTATCAGGGTGGGTCACATTACCCTGTAGACCAAGGATCTTAATCAGGGTGGGTCACATTACCATGTAGACCAAGGATCTTAATCAGGGTGGGTCACATTACCCTGTAGACCAAGGATCTTAATCAGGGTGGGTCACATTACCATGTAGACCAAGGATCTTAATCAGGGTGGGTCACATTACCATGTAGACCAAGGTTCTTTATCAGGGTGGGTCACATTACCCTGTAGACCAAGGTTCCTCTATATCAGGGTGGACCACATTACCATGTAGACCAATGTTCCTTATCAGGGTGGACCACATTACCATGTAGACCAAGGATCTTAATTAGGGTGGATCATGTTACCCTGTAGACCAAGAATCTCAAACAGGGTGGGTCACATTACCCTGTAGACCATGGTTCCTAATCAGGGTGTGCCATGTTAGATTGGTGGACATGTATGGACTCAATTTGACCATGTTATCTGAAGCATTCACCATTCCTTAAAAAGGTTACAAGTAAATGCATAATGACTAGCAGTCAAGAGGATGACAAAATTGATGATTAAATGAATAGTCAAAAAACTATGACACCTTTTTGTCGAACAAACAGTAACTATCTCCAAAGCATCTGCATTACACATGTGTGAAACCTGTCATGATACGTTCATAGGCAACAAGATTCTTATTTTGGACAAGTATACTCCAAAGGTTTCAAAAGTAGCAGAAACTAACTTAAAATGTTGTATTTAGTGAAAATATTCTTTCAGTTTTGGAGAAAATATTATTTCAAAGAGTTTGAAAATATTATTTCAAAGATGAAGTCATCTAAAACAGCATTGATTTTGTACATGACATGCAGGGGTGGGGTTCCACTTATTTTGTACATAAATTTCAGGGGAGGTCATTCACATTGTACATGCTTCTCCATAAAAATCATCATCACTCCCCCTAGCCATAAATTATGAACGGTTAGACTAAGCCTGAAGTGAGCCTCAGAGCACGGAGCAGGCTCCCCTTAACATGGGTTGACGGTGTACATGTCTTCAAACACTCCAGTGAATACACACACCTCGAACCAGGTAGATGATGATGAACTAAGGAGATGAACATGGATTTGAATCTATGATCAGAACATCATGACACACCAAAGGGACATAACTCTGTATAACAACTTAAACCAGACAAATATCCAAAAACAACTCAGAGACTGGCAAAACTTGTCAACAGGTCATAAAATTACCAGCCAACATCCACAGCTGATTTAAAATTACACTTAATTTTATAAACTTACCTACTTATAAACTAGGTATGATGAAATATAATATAAGACTAAGTATATTTGAATACTTCTCACCTTATGCTGGACATCAGTGTGAACTGGTTTAGGAGGAGACTGATCCTGGATCTAGTCCAGAACGAACTATTTCTATCAGTAATAGTTATTCACTTCACTGGGAAAGTGATTTCGTTTCTTTCCATTTCCATGGAAAATAGCGAGGACCGTCAAATAAAAAAATCAATAGTTTTGATGTTAAGTTGCTTAGAGTTCAATGTTCATTGTTCAGTTAATGAAACTGCTGCATAAGATGAACCTGATGGCAGCGTTTAAAATTTCCGCCTGCCCGACCGTCCCGAACGGTCTATTTTCATCTCAGACTGTCAGATTTCAAAGTAGCCTGTCCGGTGGTCTGGTAGATATAATTACCCCTAACAGTATATATTTCATAAGATCAGACAGGTTCTCTTGTCATCAGTTGAGGTATTTATTAAGGTATTATGATAATTATGTTAAACTACTTACGATTGGACAGTTCATGCTATGATAACCAATCACAACACATGTACTTTCAGTTTACCTAAACTCGGTGCATTGCCTGTTAGTGCTATGTAGTTCATTGCGATACCTACAAACAGGAAAGTATTCAGAAACCTAATTGTTTTTACTATTGTTGAAAACCGGACAGGTAAGTTTGTATCCGGACTGGTCTGGCTTGGAATTTTTGGAGTTTTAAACACTGCTAATAGGCAACATTGTAAAATGAATGGGAGTGTGTGCTGCATTCTGATTGGCTAACAAATGTAACTAGGTCACAGAAACCAGGAAAACTGTTGGGCTGGGTGGTGGAGCTGCCTCTGTTGGAGGACTAACCAGTTTGGGGGAGAGTATAACAACCTGAATTCAACAGAGCAAAAGAAGAGCTATACAACACAGGATTGTACTTGGAATTTACATTATAATTATTCACAAAATACAAACAATATTAACTTGATTAATGATCACACAATTGTTTTTAGTAGGATTGACAATTTTGTTCTCTGGAACATGTTTATATGAATTTTCAATAATGTATATTGAAAGATTCAGGGATGAAGACACTGATTTTAATTACATGCATTTATGCCCATTTATGGTAATATACAAGAAATCAAGCTCACTATACACTTAGCACACACTTTGGACAATCAAAAGAGTAATTATTAATCATATCATTCAGAATAGTATCGAATACAAAAATTTAAAATTTAAAATAAATAATGGTTTGTAGAGGCAGAATAATTACAGTCATGAAGACTGTAGAGCATAAATATTTTAGCGGCTTATTCGGAGTGTTGCCATGACAACATGATGTAAAATGGGGATGAGCATGATGTCATGTGTATGACAGTGTGTGATGACGTCTCACACAAGTCATGTGGAACGACGACGGAGGATGTATTTGCCTTTCTGAAGCTGGGAGACGTAGATGCGGAGCTTGGTGTTGTCGGACGTCTTCCTCACCCAGATCTGAAAACAGCAGAGATGTAAACACAAATGTTTGCCTGGAATCGGAGGAAAATGATGCTACAAACTTGCAACCATGCATCGTCATTAACAGCCTCTTACGTGTACCCTCTGCAATATTCCAGCTAATATTATCAGCTGCAAATAATCAGATCTGGGCAGGACGATCCATTGATCGACATTGTGAACAATAATCCATCCAGTCTTGATACAAGGAGTGAGTGAGTGAGTTTAGTTTTACGCCGCACTCAGCAATATTCCAGCTATATGGTGGCGGTCTGTAAATAATCGAGTCTCGACCAGACAATCCAGTGATCAACAGCATGAGCATCGATCTGCGCAATTGGGAACCGATGACATGTGTCAACCAAGTCAGCGAGCCTGACCACCCGATCCCGTTTTTCGCCTCTTATGACAAGCATGGGTTACTGAAGGTTCATTCTAACCCGGACCTTCACGGTACTTGATACAAAGACATGCAATCAGCAAAGGCTGTTGGGGAACCAGGGATGCTATCACAGCTCTGTGAAGCACTATGACCAGATTTTAATGAGACTGATCTTTGATGTGAATCCACAAAGAGGGTTGGTTGCAACAAAGGGAGACAACTCTCCAGGGGTCATCCCAGCACCTAAAACTGGGACACCCTGACTCAAATTTGTTTCATTCTAATCAGCAATATTCTTGCTAGATAGCTACAGCTTGTAATAAGTCAGACAATGCTGCATTAGTCAAACAACTGACTGATATTCAGAGCAACCACCTATGCAGTCAGGGTACGATGTCGGACAATCAAACAAGTTATGGTACCACACCACTAGGTGATACTTCATTTTTTTAACTTTGAAAGCTGGGTTGAGAATGAAGATTGTATTTCCTGTACTGACCTCCTGCGAGCCGACGCCTGTGATGACCCCACACACCTTGCCTCCTTCCTTAGACTCCACAAACACTGGCTGGTTTCTGTGGAACCTGGAACAGAACAATGTTGACAATACCTAAGGATATTCACTGCAGATAAACAACATGATGTAGCACAAAGGGAGGCAACTCATCCTGGATCACAATCGCATTCACTCATTACTCACTGTTTGTTTTTTCGTTTAACGCCGCACTCAGCAATATTCCAGCTATATGGCGGCAGTCTGTAAATAATCCAGTCTGGACCAGACAATCCAGAGATCAACAGCATGAGCATCGATCAAAGCAATTGGGATATGATGACATGTGTCAACCAAGTCAGCGAGCCTGACCACCCGTTCCCATTAGTTGCCTCTTACGACAAGCATGGGTTACTGAAGACCAACTATAACCTGGATCTTCACGGGTACTAACATGATCAAATTTTAACTGTCTCAATATATTGGGTGCATTACATCATTTTGAGAGATGTTTGACAGTCATAACCTACCATCTCTTGTCATAGTAGAGCTTGCCATCATCTATCTTCACATCTGACACTCCTTCTATAGGCGTGGGGACAGGCGCTGGCTTCTTGTTGATTGGTTTACCGCTGACTTTGTTGATGATACGGAGGTCATCCTGGATCTCTTGTTCATCCAAGAAGAAATTAAGCTGAGGTGAAATCAGTTAAGGAAGATCTGCATTGTCGATCAGTGTTTCCACTGGTCATCAGCGTTCGGTCACATTCTTGTGTGCCCATCTTACTTCCATACTGGCCATTAGAGCTGTGACGATATATCGTAGTATCGATAATCGTGATACTTTATCTGACGATAAATATATCGATACTATTTTTTGTATTGTGATATGTATCGTTGACCTTAAAATTGTTAATGTTCACCAGAAATTGACAGTTATGTCAAAATTTACACTGTTATTTGCTATCAAAATATACTTTTTGAAAGAAAATAACTAAAGATAGCATATCGTGATATGCATCGAATCGAATCATATCGTTCCCAAGATATCACGATACGTATCGTATCGTGAAATTTCTGTATCGTCACACCTCTACCGGCCATTCAGTGAACATCCAGTATCTTTCGGTTTGTTTTTATAAGACATTGCATTAGAGATCAAAGGAATATTGACCATGATGAGTTTTTCATTATTTACAATGATTTCATTTGCTGTTACGATGTCTAGTAATGAGCGAGTATGGTTTTACGCCGCTTTTATCAATATTGTAGCAATATCATGGAGGGGGGCACCAGAAAAGGGCTTCACACATTCTAACCATGCTGGGAATTGAACTCAGGTTTTCGGTGTGATGAGCGAACGCTTTAAGCACTAGGCTACCCCAACGCCTCTGAGGGCTAGTACGTTCAGGCACCGAGTCTCTTACATAAAGCATGCATGATCTACCAGATGGAGTCAATATTTAAAACTGCTACAAATACATACAGTTACATGGATATAAGTATATGACAATACAATTCAAGGCAAGAAATTGTTGACATGTCCAAAGGCAAAGGCAACAATAGTGGGAATCTGATCATGGCTGAGTTTGTGTGACCCGCTGACCAACTCAGTTTTGCTGAAATTAATGTAAACAATATTGGATAAAACTGACCATAAATTATAAATCAAGCCAGTGACATCCAATGATCCATTCTCATAGCCCATCAGTATAACAATTATTAGCTTGCGTACTTCAACTCAGGTTTGTTGACACAGTATATCTGTGTGTTACATGCATTAATTGTTTTGCTTTTGGGAAAAAGGATTAAAACTCATTGAAGGCATGTCTAATCTGCACTACATTATTTGGGAAAAATCTGAACTTAAGAGTGAGATGGGTTTTATACTGCTTTTATCAATATTCCAGCAATATCACTGGTGGCGGGGACACCAGAAATGGACTTCACACATTGTACCTATGTGGGGAATTGAACCCGGCCCTTTGGTGTGACGAACTTTAACCACTGGACTACCTCACCGCCCCTTTATGATTGTTGGAATATTATCAGTTTATATGGTATGGATACAAATAACAAAGGATATCAGGAGACGGTTTCCTCCGCTTCTCTGGCAGCGGTACCGGGTCATTTGGCCGTCGTCGCAGTTTCCTTGTCATGATTGGCTTCACTTCCATGAAGTCTGTCATTCCTGCGAGATATTCCACATCAGTCAGTGAGTATTGTTTTTGTGCCGCTTTCAGCAATATTCAAGCAATATTACAATGGAAGACACATGGAATAAGTTTCAAGCATCAGTTCATGGCAAGACTTGAACATGTCCTTTGGCATGAGAAGAAAATGCTTTAACCACTAGGCTACTGCATAGATAACAATTGTGGGTAGGTAGGTACTTGGGTATAGGATGGATGGATAGATGGATGGATGGATGGATGAGTGGATGGATAGGTAGATGGGTGGGTGGAGGGATGGATGAGTGGATGGATAGGTAGATGGGTGGAAGGAAGGATGGATGGATGGAGTGGATGGATGGTAGAGGGGTGGATGGATGGGTGGATGTAAGGGATGGATGGATGTGATGGATGGGTGGAGGGATGGATGGATGGAGGGATGGATGGAAGGTGGATGGATGGATGGATGGATGGATGGATGAATAGGATAGATGGATGGGTGGAGGGGGATGGATGGAGTGGATGGATGGGTGGATGGGTGGGATGGATGGAAGGATGGATGATGGATGGATGGTAGATGGGTGGGTGGAGGGATGGATGGATGGATGGAGTGGATAGGTAGATGGGTGGGTGGAGGGGATGGATGAGTGGATGGATGGATGGATGGGTGAGGTGGATGGATGGATGGATGGATGAGGGATGGATAGGTAGATGGATGTGGATGGAGGGATGGATGGATGAGTGGATGGATAGGTAGATGGGTGGATGGATGGATGGATGGATGGATGGATGGTGGATGGATGGGTGGATGGATGGATGGATGGATGGATGGGTGGATGGATGGATGGATGGATGAGTGGATGGATAGGTAGATGGGTGGGTGGATGGATGGAGTGGATGGATGGGTAGATGGATGTGGATGGAGGGATGATGGATGAGAGGGGATGGATGAGTGGATGGATAGGTAGATGGGTGGGTGGAGAGGGATGGGTGGATGAGTGGATGGAGGGATGGATGAGTGGATGGATAGGATAGGATGGATGGGTGGATGGATGGATGGATAGGATGGAGATGAGTGGGATGGATGGATGGATGGATGGATGGATGGATGGGATTGATAGGTGGATGGATGGATGGATGGATGGGGGTGGGGCATGGATGGATGGGATGGGTTGGGGCATGGATGAATGGGATGGGTGGGAGCATGGATGGATGGGATGGGTGGGGGGATGGGAAGGAGGGATGGATGGATGGATGGGTGGATGGATGGATGGATGGGATGGGTAGGGGCATGGATGGATGGTGGGTGGGAGGGAGATGGATGGATGGTGGGTGGGCCGGAAGGAAGGAGGGAGGGATGGAGGGAGGGATGGGTGGATGGATGGATGGGAGGGAGGATGGGATGTGTGGATGAATGGATGGGATGGATGGTGGCATGGATGGGTGGAGTGGGAGGGATGGATGGATGGATGGATGGATGGATGGGATGGATGGATGGATGGATGGATGGTAGGATGGATGGATGGATGGGAGGATGGATGGATGGATGGATAGGAGGATGAATGGGTAGATGGATGGTGGGATGGATGGATGGATGGAGGGATGGATGGATGGGATAAGGGATGGATGGGTGGATGGATAGGGATGGATGGGTGGAGGGATGGATGGATGGATGGATGGATGGATGGATGGATGGATGGATGGATGGTGGATGGATGGATGGATGGTTAGTGGAGATGGATGGATGGATGGTGGAAAGGATGGATGGGAGGGATTGTGGGTGGATGGATGGATGGATGGGTGGATGGATGGTGGGTGGAGGATGGATGGATGATAGGTGGGATGGATAGAATCTGGATAGATGGATGGATGGTGGATGGATGGGTGGGAGGGATGTATGAAGAGATGGATTTGAGGGAGAGAAGACAATTACTGAGGTGAATTACAGAAAACATAAACTGCATTTTATATACAGCTAAATCAAGCCCTACTACTCGATGACAAGGAGACAAGAACCCTTACCACTGCTGGTGTTCATGTCCATCGTCCCTCTCTCACACTCCACGTTTCTTTTCTTCTCCTCCAAATCCATGATTAGACTTTCCTTCAGCTCAATCTTCTTCTCCTGAGGAGAAACACATATAATATCATTCAAGTACCCAGCATATAACCAAAATCAGACCCGTGAAGATCCGGGGTAGAATAGGTCTTCAGCAACCCATGTGCTTGCCATAAAAAGGCGACTATCTTGTCGTAAGAGGCGACTAACGGGATCGGGTGGTCAGTTTCGCTGACTTGGTTGACACATGTCATTGGTTCCCAATTGCGTAGATCGATGCTCATGCTGTTGATCACTGGATTGTCTGGTCCAGACTCGATTATTTACAGACCGCCGCCATATAGCTGGAATATTGCTGAGTCCGGCGTAAAACTAAACTCACTCACTCACTCCTCACCAAAATCAGTAGGTTTCATTATTTGCTTTTATTGTTGCTTTGACGCCAGACTAAGCACACATAATAGCTACTGAGGGCTTAGGTATTATTTTGAAGATATAACGTAACTATAGAAGTCAATGGGAAAATATTTGGTTTTGTAAACCATTAGGCCATGTGTGTCATGCAACTGGGTTGTCTCCCTTCCCTCACCTCAAACTCTTTGGCTGATGCTTTCTTCTCTTTCTTGTGTTCTCGCTCAACTATCTCCAGCTGAAACAAAAGATACAACATTCATGGCAGAGCTGCTATTCCAGTAAACTCTATGATACACTGACATGATTGAAGCATTAGTCCTCAATTAAATAGTAAAACATTTGGCCAAGATACATGAAATTATCAAACACGTCAGCATGAGTAAATTCAATTTTCAATATCTAAAAAATCGCAGTTCAAAAGGTCTTAAGATTTGCTGAATTGTTTGATATGAATGTTTGGCAGGACTGTTAAAAGAGAATGGCTATTACGCTGGTGACATGGCGACCATGAAACAGTGAGGCACAGTCTCCTGTAGTTATGTGAGTATGGATGAAAGTCCCCCTTAGTAATAACTTATTATGTGGTCTTTAACAATAGTTAATTCAATGATTCTGCTTATAAGAATAGTAAATCTGACATTAATGTCAAGCTTGTGATGTACATAACAGTATAACATTTACATTTCACATCAACCATTAACATGCCTTTTAGAACAATGTCAGATTAGATAGAATGAACCAAATAACCTGTATTGTACTATAGTACTCATCCAAAGTCTGGGACCCTTGGATTCAAACCCATGACCAGCGGATCCTGACAGCTAAGGGACATAACTCTTGCACTGCAAGTTCAAGAACTGTGCGATTGGGGTCACTTGCACAAAGTAATCTTTAAAACACATCCTCTGGTACTGGGTAAGCTCAGAAAACATTTGTAGAATATACTACCTCAATATCTCTCCAGATCTCGTTCAGACGCAGTCTCTCACGATACTGCTGTTCGATCCTCCTGTTCCGCTTGATATATTCAGGGAGTGTGCCCTCCTTTAGATGCTGCAGCTGCTTTTTCAAGTGAGCCAATTTATCCTGGTACATCCTGGAACACAAAACGATATTATTCACCATGAGCTACTGGGGATTTTGACCATCATGAGAATATTACTACAGTTGAAACTACATGGCCATCATCATGATAAGGAGTTAGATGACTATGGTCATTTTATATCGACACATGGAAAAATTATGACAAAGATTTGTTGAAAATCAGTATTTTTAAATGGCGATTGACAACGTTCAGATTCCTTATACCCAATTGTCAATGTTATTTTGGATGTTTTTTGCTTGTTAACTGGGAATAGTTTAAGATGCTATACAAGTTCATGTTGTCTCAGTATATCCATGCAATGTTTTTCTGTTATTCTGGGAAATCTTGGGAGTTACATGGGATAATGAGTTTTGCCTCGTCCATGCAACATCATTGTGTGCTCAACCACGGACGTAACAATGATGCAATGGAACCTTGTGTTAAAAGATTGAAATACATTGTGAAAACATTATTTCCCTGTGCCTTTATGCAACTGCCTCGATTACAATGTTTTTCATATTGCACAAGAGCACAATGTTTTCCATGAACAGTCACACAGAGAATGCATGTAGGACTTACTGCTCCCTTATCTCTGTGCGAGGCAGATTGTTCTGTTGCTTGTCCTCGGTTTCACTTGCATCTTCAGTGTCTGCAATCAGAGAGGTAAGCATAAGACATCATTCTGTAGGTGACTTAATAGGTCATCAGAAAGGACACCGCGATGAATCTACTAATAGGCGAAATAGTGGGTAACAAATACAATGACAAGTCAGTGAGATGCAGTTTGTTGCAAGAATTATTGCAACAACCAAGTGGTCTGAACAGGTTACTATGTTCATTTACTGTCAGAATACATTGTTCATCAAACTCAACAAGTTGTCAAATACAGGTTGTGTGTGTAAAACGAGGACTAGTAATGATTCGAAACAAGCATTGTACATGTTGTTTTAAAGAGTTTTAAGAATACATTTTGAAAAAACCCCGTTTCATTGAACATCTATTTACCGTTTAAATGAGAGTATGTTGATGCCTGGCATCAAAGTTTGCTTGTCAAAATTATTTATTTGTTTTTGAGCATATGACATGTAGGTTACTAATTCTAAGACACGAATTCTATGCAAACAAAATTAAGCCGAAAGGGAATCTAGAAACCATATATTCAGAGGCTCTGATAATAGATCTGAGACAAGTGTCACTTGTAAAGTGCGGCTTTCAAACTACGCCTGCACGCGGTATATAGCCATAATGGTATATTTTCTACACTCGAATACAGATTACTTTTATTGACAGTGCATGCTCCTAAGTTTCATTTTATCAACCTTCATCAGAATCGTTGCCGTCCTCGTCTGTGCTGTAGATATCGTCGTTGTCGAGGTCGTCGTCGTTATCTGGTCTCGGCGATGAAGTGTAGCTGGACATTTGATTTCAAAATATCCCGATTACACGCCTCGGTCGTGCTCTCCCTGTTTTGTTGTCTCAATATATTTCCGGCTGCGTTCGCGCACCTGCGGATGTTGTCGATTTGTTCAAATAATAATTCTAATCGATCAATTTAACCATACATTTATTTAATATATTTCATAAGTTTTTAAAAAGAATATAACTATAAAAAACTAAAGACATAGTCACATTATAAGAGGTTAAAAGAATCATCTGTCGATGAGAATCCATGCAATAAGAAGTCACACTTTACTTGAAAACATTTATCGATGTGAATTTGACGAGGACGCTTTCCGGTAACACACGCATGCGTATAACACGTGGCTGAAATCAACAAGTATGGCGGCCCAAACGTTTCAGCAGGAGTATATGCAGATGCCCCCAATAACAAGGGCGTATACAACTGCATGTGTTCTAACAACTATTGCCGTGGTAAGTGCTTTAACGTTGCCGCAAGTAGTATTTGTAACTTTGACACCTAAAGCTGGTAGCGTGTAGATCTGAGTGAATGAACTCAAAGCGGACCGACTTATATGCCAAGACGGCAAGAGATTCACTGACGCTTCCGTGGTGTATTACTAACTACCCCTACCTACTGGTTAGATCCGAGAATGAAAGTCCATGATTCAATACATATGTCCAAAGTTAGGACGTAACGCGATATATGACGATGACTGTTGTCATTGTGACGAAACAAATCAAAACCTGTGTCAGCTGATAAACAATCCAGAATTCTGTAAATTCGGTTTTGGATGTCGTGGACATATTAGAGAAGCAACGAACACACTATGAGGCGAATATGTTATAGAATATAGGGTAATGAACAAGTCAGTTGTTGATGTATTATTCACTATGTTCAGTCACACACGCAATCATTTACTTTTTGATAATGTTGAGATGGGTGTCTGTGTATGATACATGTAGAAATATGAAAGGTTCAGTGTTTACATACATGGTCAGAGGCCCAGATAAGCTGTGTATCCGGGTAAAATACGCATAGAAAATTTCCAATTATGCACTGAAAAATAATTGTTGCGTACCAATTACGCATTTAGAATGTTAGATACGCAAAAAGTTTAAAACAAATGCGTACAGAATATGTTTATAAAAATCGCTTACGTAATGAAAAAGACATCGATTGCTATCAAGTTGTACTGTTAGTATAGGACAAGTGTTGTACTGTCAGTACAGGATGAGTGATTTTTTTATGAAATCATTTCCATTATATTTAAGTTGGTTTTGATTAGGTATGACATAAGGCAGAACATACCTGCTTAGTAAACTTACTCAATGACATAATACTTAGGTGAGTAAAATGACTGAAATATGCACATATTCTGAAAGCAGTGGGTAACGGAAAATGAAATACCCACTCAACATTCATAATACCCACTCCAAAAAAAAATACATTGGGTACAGTACCCACATGAGCTAAATCTTACCTGGAGCTCTGCATGGTTTTCAGACTTGTCTATCAGCAGTTGAGACAGACCTGACAATTATGATGATGATTCTTTTCAATATCAAAATGATCATGACAGCCAGAGTTATCGGACATTAGTTTTAAACATGAGTATAGATGAGACATTTAACAAGTGAATATAGTATAAGCAGCAATACAAATGTACATTATGATTGAGTGAGTGGGTTTTGTTTTACGCCACACTCAGCAATATTCCAGCTATATGGCGGCTGTCTGTAAATAATTGAGTCTGGATCAGACAATCCAGTGATCAACAGCATGAGCATCAATCTGGTATCAACCAAGTCAGCGAACCTGACCACCTGATCACGTTAGTCGCCTGTTACGGCAATCATGGGCTCCTGAAGATCAATATTCTAACCCGGACCTTCAGGGGTTATAAATTATGAAGCAATTTAGAGACAGTTCTAGCGGGATCAATTGCCATATTTGTGTTTGTACTTGTAGACCTGAGCAAATTCTTTTCCTGAATTAAACCAGATAATTTAGACATTTTACTGCTGCTGTTACTGTTATGGCCATGTTATAACCTGGCAGAGTCAAAACAAATGTCATGTTCTGTAAACAGAACTTTCCTTTACTATTCAGGACAGACCACTGGTTTGCTGTGAAAGGCAGTCACTGACAACCCTATTTCATTTGTTCTTTATCTAAAATTACCCTGAAAAAATTGTTAGCAATTATCATATTTCCCTCTATGGTAGTTATCCCAATCTTAAAAAAACCAACAACTGTTTTTCTATACTGACTGGCTGCCTGACTTGCAAAATTATTTTTTATGAGCTAAGTTCTAAGAAGGCCATGAATAATTAAGTTGCAGTACATTGTCATGCTAACCTGTTATAAACATGTACATCAATATACATGCTGTTGACAAGCAGTCACTATCTGATGGAATTGTACACGATCTAAGTTATTAAAGCTTATTGATTGTAAAGAACTGAAAAAGTAGACTTACTGGCTGCTACTCTATCATGTCTATAGTTGGTGTACATACTGCTACCTGAACTACAATCAACACAATATATATGTTCATTATAGGATTAGGATATGCCCTTACAATCTTTACAAGATAAAGAATGTGATATATACATGCTATAACATGTAACACATTACAGAGGCCCAGATAAGCTGTGTATCCAGGTAAAATATGCATAGAAAATTTCCAATTACGCATTGAAAAATAATTGTTGTGTACCAATTATGCATTTAAAATGTTACAAAAGCAAAAAGTTTCAAACAAATGCGTACAGAATATATTTATAAAAATCGCTTGCGTAATGAAAAAGACATCGATTGCTATCAAGTTGTACTGTTAGTATAGGATGAGTGATTTTTTATGAAATCATTTCCATTATATTTAAATTGGTTTTGATTGGGTATGAGATAAGGCAGAACATACCTGCTTAGTAAACTTACTCCGTGACATAATACTTAGGTGAGTAAAATGACTGAAATATGCAAATATTTGAAAGCAGTGGGTAACGGAAATTGAAATACCCACTCAACATTCATACCCACTCCAAAAAAATACATTGGGTACAGTACCCACATGAGCTAAATCTTATCTGGAGCTCTGACATTTGAAAGAAAATAAATACCCCAAACAATTTTTTTGTAGATATTTCTTCAAGGGCTTGTCAGTTTCTCTCTTTTCTTTTCAGCAACTTGATATCATCACACCATTCCAGATATACTTCAATCCAGACCTTATATTTAGGAGTTATCAGGTAAGTACTTGTCACCATCTGACTACTGTTGTTGGTTTTATTTAATGAATAACACTTGTAGACATGTTTCTGTGCTTCATTCGGAAATCCAAGAGGCAGTCAGTAAGTGGTAATCTGCAATGTCAGCATGTTTTTAAATAATTAGCTTGTTGTTTATCAGGCTTTTGTAACCATGGTAACTTTGTCTCTTGTAGTTATGGCGCCTGATCACCAACTTCTTATACTTTGGTCCGATTGGGTTCAACTTCCTGTTCAACATGATATTTGCATATCGGTATTGTCGGATGTTGGAAGAGGGATCGTTCAGAGGCCGGACGGCTGACTTCTTCTTCATGTTTCTCTTTGGAGGACTTTTAATGACTGTATCCTTTCAAGTTTATGTTAAGCATTTGCGACATTTAACATTACATGTATATAATAAGTTATTTTATGTTTTTTTCTTGGTGTTTTGCAGTTTCTGCTTAAGAAAGGATCTGTCAGTAATTTTGTTGCTAGGGACAAATGGCAATCAGATATTTTCAAGATTTTGTAAATTTTGAAGTAATGTAACAAAAAGTCAAGTGAACTTATGTCATGTTGCCTGTTATACATCTGTCTTAGGAATTTATGACTTCTTACCAGAATCTTTCAAGAACCGCCCCAGCCGTGATCCGATTTGGAACACGGCTGCCATGACAGCCATTTTGAAAGGATCATTTTGCCCCAAACTCAACAATTTCTGCATGTACCATAACAACATTTCTGTGCAATACCAGAATTCGTTGAGGACCGCCAAAAAATGCCAGTATAGAGGGTGTGCCGGTTTAGAGAACATTTCCTTTTTCAATCTGAGAATGATATTCCGTGTGCTGTAAAATATGACTGAATGTGTTGATAGTCATCATATTCTTTATTCATCAATAAAGATAACATCCGGTACAGCAAGGAAAAACAAACAAGTCTCATCGCAGTTAAAGACATCTTCAAGCACATATCCATGCGGGCAGTCAAAAATCACACGCCAATGTGTTAATTTTGTCAAATTTACTGTTTTCATTCACACAGCAATTAATTTATAATACAAGTGACATGTGTCACTCACCAATTTACCATACTCCTTTCATGAGGCAATATCAATGAGCTTAATGCCGATGGTAATCCATTGTGTTGTTAATACACGTTCAACCAATCAACAGGAGAGTCGAGGTACCGGATGCCGGTTTAGAGAGCGTTAACTGGGTGGTCTTTGATGTGCTGAATACGGAATAGACTGACGCTGGATTAGAGGGCGCGTAAATGATCATGAATTAACTAGCTACTGCGGGACCAAATTCTAGTGCTGATATTGACAGCATGCGTAATTGGAGTGCTGAGTTTAGAGGGCTTCCACTGTATATACAGGTACAACCTTGTACTCAAGTATTATCGTTGTTGTTGGTCTAGCTGCATTCTCTTCCCACAGAGGTTACTTGTCATATCTTCCTAATTCTAATACGGCTATATTTCCCGGTTCTCGTAAAATCCCCTAGCGGCAAAAGATCGCAACACGAATTATCTCCCTTCTTCCTATCCAATCAGAACACGTGTTACATCGACTTAGATTCAACTTGACTAACACAAGCAAATGTGGGGCCACAAATATCCACCATCTGCCGGGGCATTGTGTTGATGTTACACACAAGACGTTTAATGGCTAGCTTGTCCGTTGTCAACGAGGGCAATGGAGACGCCACTGATCTGCCATAACATGACTGAGTTCTGTCTAGAAGAAACGTTTGCGCATCGCGCAGGGGAAGAAGTTAAGTTTTTCTCGAAGCATACGGAAATTACCGAGGCCTTGCGAATGATCACTTTTGAAACAACGTCGCTGATTGCACAACTAAATCTGATTGCCTCCAATCACGAGACTTGAACGCTCATGAAAGGGCCGTATTAGAACAGAGGTTACGTAGGAAGATATGACAGGAGTAACCTCTGTGGGAAGAGAATGGTCTAGCTGTAACTGCTGTGTTTTAGAGTTATGCATTTTGCTCCTCTCTGAAAGTATAAGAACAAGAGGAGAGCTGAAACTTTGCCAAAATATATTTCCTTGACCTCATCTCAGATCATTGCATTGTTTGTAAATCTTGTGTTCCTGGGAAGTGCTTTCACAATAATGCTGGTGTATGTGTGGAGCCGAAGAAACCCTTACATAAGAATGAACTTTTTTGGTCTCATGAACTTTCAAGCACCATATTTACCATGGGTGCTTCTTGGTTTCTCTTTGTTGCTAGGCAACTCAATAATTGTTGATCTTATGGGTAAGTACATTTAGTCAAAAATCAGTATTAACATTTTACTTTAAATGTCATTTAAAAAGAAATCTTGTTAAGTAGTTTACTTTGTATTCTGTTATTCCTGAGGTTATGTTAGTGAGTGATTGAGTTTAGTTTTATGCTGCTTTTACCAATAGTCCAGTAATCACGGCGGGGAAACCAGAAATGGGCTTCACACATTGTACCCATGTGGGGAATCTAACCCGGGTTTTCGGCATGACAAGTGAAGGCTTTAACCACTAGGCTACCCAACCGCCCCTGAAGTAACCCAGGAGGTGTTTCTTATGCAATGAACATGGCTGTCTTAAATTGTGAAATATTTGCTTTTGGCCCTTCCATATTGCCTTGTTTTGGAGAGTAGAATGATGGGTTAGTCAAGTGCTTACATCTTTCACACATTGCTGAAGACCCAGGTTTGATTCTCCACTTGGGTACAAATCGTTTATATTTTAAAAAGTACATTAATACAAATGTAATAAGTGCACTTTAATATTTATGTTGTTCTTCATGGGATTTTGCACATCTTTGAACACAGACCCGGGTTGAACACAGTCCCGGGTTAGAATTGGTCTTCTTAATGCTTGTCGTAAGAGGCGACTATGTTTGTCGTAAGAGGCGACTAACGGGATCGGGTGGTCAGGCTTGCTGACTTGGTTGACACATGTCATCGGTTCCCAATTGCGCAGATCAATGCTCAAGCTGTTGATCACTGGATTGTCTGGTCCAGACTCGATTATTGGAATATTGCTAAGTGCGGCGTAAAACTAAACTCACTCACTCACTCTTTGAACACAAAATGGAGGAATTGTGCAAGTTTGAATTCCAACATAAAATCATAGAAATTGAAAATCTATGATATCACTCGAACTGATCAGTTGTTGAATTTAAGTAGGGTCACTGCTTCCCTGTGGTCTCTTATGATCTCCTAAGTCAGTTCACTCTAAGTCTTGAAATTCAACTTTGGGGTTTTCGCTATGAACCCTCGTCTTTCATGCTATTTGTTTAACCAGTCATTGTGTGAAGCCACTCTTTATGTTTTCTCTAGTAATTTGCTGACAATATTGTTGAATGCCTTGTAAAAACACTTTTTAAAGAACTGAAGGCCATAGGGACATTTTTAAGATAAGAATCTTTATGTTCCATGTTTGTTAGATGTGTAATGTTTGTCTTGAATGTTTCAGGTATAGCTATAGGCCATGTCTACTACTTCCTAGAGGATGTGTTTCCACAGCAACAAGGGGGATTTAAGTTGCTTAAAACACCAAGTATCTTGTAAGTTGAAAAACTATTTTTATGTTTTCACTCAACAAACGTATTTGACTATTTGTTGTTTGATTTGTTTTAATGGATAAACTGTTGAAAGCAGCTCTAAACCCAAACCAAAAAAGTTCTCACCCACTCACTCACCTCACTCACTCACTCACTCAACATTGAGAGCTGAAAGCCTTCCATCATGATATGGCTGAAATACTGCCGATGTGACTTTAAATTTTAACTCACTCACTAAAAACCTTCCATTCTTTGAAATCTGGTGTAACTTGTCTGTTTTCAGAAAATATCTATTCGATGCAGCCCCTGAAGATCCCAATTACAACCCTTTACCTGAAGATCGCCCTGGTGGCTTTGAATGGGGTCAAGGTCAAAGGGTGGGGGCTCAGGAGCAGGGTCAAGGTCAAGAGGGAGATGGAAACTGAGAAGCCATGGATCTTCCATAACTATGACAAACGTTATTCCAACTCCGAGTCTCAAGAGAGAGCCATATTAAGATGTTCAGTCCACATAATATGGTTTTTTGTTTAGCCAAACATCGAGCAGCATCTACCTGAACCAAAAGAGGCCGAGTTGTTTAGCTCAATGTTTTTCAGCGAGTGCAATCCGTGAGATTTATAACTTACAGGGTTGGTGTGCCACAGGGATGGCTTCTGGACCCTTCATCATTATCATGGTTTACATTTTTCAAGATCCGGACAATAATCTTGCCGAAGCTTGAAAACTTGCTTAGGATGATGCAGCAAGGAATAAGTTTGATGGAAAAAGTAGACATGTTGATGGTACATGATTGGAATGTTATTGAAATTACTGAAAGTTGCGATGACATGAACTTGTTACGAAAGTTAAGAATGGATGATCGGTGATGTTGTTGTTTTGATGTGTATGCATGATGGAAGTGTATATGATGTGGATATATCTTTTTAATAGTGTTATTTGTGTTCGTTTTATTGATGTTTGTGTTGGGGACATTCAGAACTATGTTTCCATGGTTACTGGTAATCTTTGAATATTTATAATTTATGATGCAGAGATAACAGTTGAATCAGAATAAATAATCCTTTTTTAGGAATGGCAATTTTTATTTAATTGACTGAAAAGTGTAGTATGTTCATAGGAACTCAGACTATTCCCATTATGTTGATGCAGTGTCAGGGACCATTCGTTGGTTTCACATTAGTTTCGACTCGCTGTGTGCATGCGCAGAGCGTGTAAAAATATCCACTGGTCAACTTCCGGTTTGGTTGTATGCTTTACTGAGTGTAAACACACTCTAAAAAACAAAATCAAAACAAATATATAGTTGTATGTCAAATGCAACTGATCCCAATTGAATTATGAAACAATTGCTGGAATTAGTTATATAAATAGCTTAATTTATATTAACAGCTAACAAGCTCTTGTATATAGACATCTCACCACCACCGTCCTTCCGCACATCCCCTTCTTGTAACTAAAACAACCCCACATCTCTGATGGAATTGCAACCAAAATGGGACATCAATTATTGACAAGCAGAGGCAAATGGAAGTATGTACTCAGCTATGAACAGTTGTCACAACGTAAATAATTTTCATAACAGCTTTTATTTAGAGTGCATTACTGGAAGTTGGCCAGTGTATAATTTTCACACGCTCTGCCCATGCACACAGCGAGTTGAAAAGTAATGTGAAACCAACAAATATACCGGTATATATATATATGACCGGCAGTGTATATATGACCACAGAGTCCTACACTCCAAGATGTCAAAATCATAGCTTTGAGAACCTGTTTTCATTGGTTATTGGTGGACTTATTGCTGACTGCCAACTCATAATGTTGAAAGAAGATAAATGTTGATAAAAAGAAGTTCACCCGTGTCTGTTTTGATATCAAATATATGAACAGTTGTCGTAAATATAGTTTTGCAATAACCAGGCCAAATCCTATGGTCAACATTATGTAACTACCTACCAAATCACATTACCAAATGATTTCACAGTTATATGGTGTGGTATCTGCCTTTTATTATGGTGGACATACTTCAAAAATACATAACAAAACATTTCAAATTCTTCATCTTGACAAAGTTATACAATACATCAGGCTGACTTAGGTTGTTGTTTTTTTGGTTATCGGTTGGTTTACACAAACTGTTTTACTGCAGTAAATATAGGTGGTTGGAAATTTATCAACTTCTAGATCAGAACTGCTAGTAATGAATTGTTTTCATTTTGTTGGGAACAGTGATTATATAATCTTGTGATTTATTTTCATTTTACCGAATTGGAAAATAGATTTAGTCCCAAAATATGAAATACAGTTGCTTTCTACAAAATATTTGAAAAAAAAATGTAACTGAATTTATGTCATGCATGTGAAGAAATGCTTTTTAACAATTGTTTTTTTAAAGCTTTAGTTATGTTCTTAACCAGTTAGTAAATACTTAATTAACATAACTTTACAAAAATGTTAGCTGTTAATGCCATGATAAACAAGTTTGACAGTGACGAAAATAGAGCTCTTGTTGGTTCCCCCGCTTCCACATTCCTTTTAGTATAAACCTGCTCATGTTTGTTCTTCAGCTTAGTGGTTGGGCAAATATATCTCAGTTATCAGGACCTCACACCAGTTAGGCACCATGCATCACTTCTATTATTCTGCTTTAGAAGTTTATGACGAAATCCCTGGTGGTTATTCACACCTGGAAATTACACCTGTTAGTTACCATGGTGACAGTACTATGTAGTGCCATTACCTGGTCAAGATAGGGCTGATGGGGTCGGTGAGTGGTGAAAGTGTTAGCTCCTCATGCAGAAATGATCCGATTCTGGTGGGCCACTGATGATACGCTACACAGCAATGATTCATGAGATCAACCCGACACCACACTCACATCAAGTGGTCTGTCTCAGACCATGTACCGCATTGTCCTTACCCCCAGTCCTTACTGTGATGTTAGGGTGATATGGAAGCCTAGTGGTTAAAGGTCTGCTTGTCACGCTGATGACCCGGGTTCGAATCCCCACACTGGTACAACGTGTAAAGCCCATTTCTGGTGATATTGCTGGAATATTGCCCAACCTACTCTCAACTGTAGTGCTATGGTTCCAACTGAAGCAAAAGGTTTTTCACAGGCTCTGAATGCCCAATGTCACTGGGCTCCTTTTCATTCAAAAGTGTTTGTTGCTAACGAAATTATATGTTTTCAGAGACTATGCAATAGTCTATCATATCAAGCCAAGAGAGGAGCACTGACGGACAAGAGGCATCTGGGTTCCACTCACAGAGTTGCGTCCCTTAGTCCATACCCAAAGCCATTTGTTTTGCCTCTGTGTCAACAGCTACCACCTGAATAACTTTGGCCTTTACTTCCTCAATGTCAGCATATTATTATATGTACATCTCAACTGACTTTTGGTTAGATTTGACCCTTGTAACCTATACTTGTCTTAACAGACTGCCAAATGGATCGGGTGGTCAGGTTTGGTGACTTGGTTAATGGGGTGTCTCTCTACCCAACAGTGGATCATCGAAAGTGATATCAATCACTGGAATGTCTGGTCCAGATTTGATAATATTCATATTTACATTGCTGACTGCAGTGTTAAACAACAGGCACACCGGCACACAATATGTGTATGCTTGCTTGTTACTCTTTGTTTTTCCTTAAACCGCTTTTAGACATACATTTTTTTAAAGGACCTGGCAACTCCCAGTTTTTCAAGTGCATCCACTGATTTTTGTGGTGTAAATCCTTTGCCAAAATATTGATATGTTTTTTTGTTGTAAATTTGTGTACATTGTGTATGAGGGTTGATAAAGCTATACATCTTATCCTCATAAAGCCGGAATCACTCAGAATTACAGACACCATTTAATGTAACGTGACGGGTTAGGTCGGTGTGAACGTTTATGTATGATGTAGGTAAAACATCCACGTAGACACACAAAGATAAACATGGTGCTGTGAGGCTGAGTAGATGCCTGTTGCCAGGGAAATACATGTGCATTGATTTCTTGCCACACCTTGGCATTGGTGTCAGGATTCAACCACGTATCTGTGTGTCACAAGTTTACAACTGATGCTACGGTTGGGGTTCTAATTCTGTATGGCCGCCAAATACAGTGTATACTATTCACACTTTGCTAAGGATCAAACCATTGATTCAACAGAAAACTATGATGTGGGGTCGAATTTGGTTTAAATACCTAACCTTATTGTAAGCATGGATCCTAGGTTTCTGTATGTTACTGCATCTTGTGGATCCCATACCTGCTATTGACAGGTGTTGTGTACTTGTCAATGACTAGTTCCATGATTTGCAAAATGGTTGATTGGTGCCATGAAAACCATTTTATGGTTACTCATGTATCAAGTGCATAAGGTTAGATTAAAGTGACTGTTTGCCTAAAGGGGAGTTACCATATCATTATTTATCCAGTTTTAAATGGATACAATTTCAAATTATAAGTCTGTTTAAGTAAAGTTAGGAATTTTTGTGATCCTTAGCAAAGTGTGAGTAGTATAGTTGGAATATTGCTGAGTGCAGTGTTAAACAACAATCGATCGATCATTCAATCTGTATGGATTTTCTAAAGGTAATAGTTAGATTTTTCTTGGTGCTGTTTGGACCAGAGATACTTACAACCCAGTGTTGAGTTAGACTGATTATATGATTATATGGTTAGAATAGCTGATTATCTCATCACACACACTGGTTGTCAGCTTCAACCTGGTATAAACCCATGACATATGCAATCTCATTAACATCAGATCTTTGTGTTTCTACTGCAACACAAGCTTTTTTGTAGGGATAGTGAGCGATGTTGTTCAAATGATATTGGGACACATAGAAAAAAGGTATTTTCATGCAAATAGCAAATATTAATTCAGGTGATGTGTCGAAATTGTTCCATAACTTGTGTCCTAACACCACCTTGAGTACTTGACATGAGACGAGGAAACAAAAACAGTCAACTTATGTAAGTCTATATGCTGAAAAATATATAAATCAACTTTTTTCTGAAATAATGTACATCATTCATGTGACTTCTTTGATGGGCATTTTAGAAGTTGAGTTGATGAAGAATAATGACAATTATTATGGATATACAACTTCTTTTATTCTGTGGAGGCGACATTTCGAAATAGATTCTAATGTCGTTGTCAAGCAACTTGAAACAAACTTGCTTGACACCGACATCAGAATCTATTTCGAAACGTCACCTCAACAAAATAAAAGAAGTTGTATATCCATAATAATTGTCATTATTCTTCATCATTCATGTGGATGAAAAGGTCCATTGGAAAATGCATCTGGTCCCTCAACATGAATTATGATTGTAACATGTCAGATGCTATCTCTGCTATGTCATGATTGGTTGTGTCCCGTGAAGATTCGGGATTGAATTGATCTTCAGTAACACATGCTTGTCGTAAGAGGCGACAATGGGATTGAGTGGTCAGGCTTGCTGACTTGGTTGACACATGTCATCGTATCCCATTTGCGTAGATCGATGCTCATGCTGTTGATCACTAGATTGTCTGGTCCAGATTTGATTATTTACAGACAGCTGTCATAGAGCTGGAATATTGCTGAGTGCAGTGTAAACTAAACTCACTCATGATTGGTTGTGTGCCAACAATCCACCAAGCCATGAATGGATCCTGTCTATATATCTCTTTGTCCCTTCACAAACTGTGGGACCCGTGAA